AGGCGAGCGAGCGTCCGCGACGAGCGAATCCGCAACCCCGTGGAATTTCGCTCTCGTGGCGGAGGCGAGCGAAGAGCGAAAACGTGACTTTCGTTTCCCCGTGCAGCTACCCCTCGCCTCTCACTTGCTATCCCGATCGCGTGCGACGCGTGTTACTCTCCTCTATCCTTTTTTTTTCCCCTTATATCTCCCTCTCCCTTTTATCGCGGAAATCGCGTGGGTTCTTTCAATCGCGGTCCCGTTCCGTGGCTGCTCGCTCGTCCGTTGGCGGGCTTCGAATGACGAGCTGCGATCGCTCCCCACGCAAACGCTCCGGCTCTCTCACTCTTTCTCCCCCGTGTACCTCGCGCGTTCTCTCCCTCGATCGCGCCGGCTCGGCTCGTCCCCCCCGTTGCACTCCCCTTCGGCGCGTTCTTCTCTCTCACGCGTCCGCCTGCCGACGTTCTCGTGCCATCTCGTTCTCGACCTGGCGGCGTGCGCCAGAGGGAGAGAGGAATCGGCGCGCGATAGCCGGCTTGCCGCGGCGCACCGTGCAGAGAAACGGAGGGATGAAGAAAGAAGAGGATAGAGAAGAGAGAGAGAGAGAGAGAGAGAGGGCTTGAAGAGGGAGAGAACAAAATGCCGTGCAGCATGCGCAAGCGCCAAGAACGTATATACTTACCGGCGCTATCTGCGAGGCGGTAAAAGCACCCCCCGCGAGCACCAACTTCCGCGGAGGGAAGGAAGAAGCGAACGAACTAAGCGTGCTCTCTCTCCTCTTCTCCGCGCTGCCTCCACCTTCTTCGCCGACACAATCCCCGCTGCACCCTCGGCGAGCAGGGGGTGCCCGGCTGCCTAACGTGAAACACGTATGCACAAGAAAACCCCTCTGCTATCTCCTCCGGATGAATACGAGAGAAATATTTTTAACGGCGGCATGCGAGGCCACCCGGCCATCTCATTAAGAGTGCACTGGCACGCGGATGTGAGAGGGTGAGAAACGCAGGGGGTTGGAGAGAGAGAAGGGAAACGAAAGCTCGGGAGAGGTACTATCGCGTATGCGTCAGCACGCAATTAAGTCACATTTTCGGGTGGCTCATCGCCGCAAGTTAAGAAGCTTGCGAGAGGCACGATGCGAACATAAGGAAATCCAATAATCCCAGTTACACGAGGCACATCCATTCATTTTGCAATATTTTTCGCAGATTCAAGAAGCATAAATACAATTTGCAAGTATGTGACTAAAACATTGATTTAGATGTAGCTCGCTCTGCGTAATTTCGTTAACTTCTTCTTTTAAGATTCGACGAATACAAACATCCCTGTTGATTCTTGGCGGCGAAAGATCGTCCAAATCTGTCACGCGAAGAACTTGCGACACATGACCCCGTTTAGTTACGCTAAAATTTGGTTCCTCGATATCCACTCGATCCGTCATGTACAAACGTACGAGAGGAACAAAAACGATTTCCTGTCGATATCGACATTTTTGAAAATCACAATCACACATTTAAAAACTTGCTCTTATACAAACCTGCTGATCGATATGCGAAAAATACTTCTCTTACACTACATTGTCGGCGATATGTTATATATAAATAATTTAAATATGATGCTCTTGTAAGAAACCTATAAGAAAAACATGTATAGGAAATCAAAAAGAATTATTATAATTTCTATTCTTTATTCAACTTTCTCAAATTGTATAATCCGATAAGGATACGTTTAAAGACACGATTTGCACATACTAATTTATGATGTAATTAGACATTTGTTAGCTAGAGATAGGATTACTTCTAGTCGGAATAATCCAATAGAGGTGTTATCGCGGAGTTACAGCATCTTAAAGCGCAAATGTGAGTCTCTTAATTCCTCGACGGCTTTATCTCGTTGATTAGTGGACCAAACAACGTGCGGAATAGGGAAAAAATAAAGAAACGTGATAACTGAACAAAAAAGCTTTCTGAGTACGTGATTTGGATGGTAAAATTTGCATAGAGGTGCAAGACGCACCAAAGATCTCGTGAATAACTTGGTCGCCTGCAGCTATTAAAGTACCCTTATCTAAAAACTCTCTTTAAAGTATAACGTTAAAGAATCCACCGCAGCCCACAGGAATTGGCTCGCTTTGGGATCCTTTAGGAAGTCATAAG